CGCTCCCTGAAGTGATTGCAGATATCTGTCCAACGAAGGAAGAAGATGACCATCCTGACGACAAGGTTGAGAATCAAGACGATTTCTCAACCAAGAGACTGGATTCGATTTTGGACCCTCTAACTCATCGATCACCCAAGTCTCAGTCATCTTCTGTCATAATTGCATAGATGGACTGGAACTCCAGAAAGTACCCAGACGGAAAAGGACGATTGAGTTAGTGGGCGAGCGAAGGTTGACAAATTGGTCTTCGAAAACGCATTTTTCGGTTTTCAGTTACAAGTAAACAAACAACGATGTAAAAAGGAAGTAAGTAAGAAAATTGATCACGTCAAGGATCACGAGATTTCTGAATAGTTTCTCTCCACCACAATGGCAATTCTTCGGAAGACTGTTCGACATTCGCTACTTCACACCTTGAGTTCAACTTTCTTCTTTTAAGTGGACGCGCCTCGAAGCAGGGGGATTGTTTCCCTCCATCTTCAAGAGATGTCTCTTCTTCTGGGTCATCACCACAGGGACCTGAAGAGAGCACTTGATTCCCCATCGATCTGGAATGGTCTTACCCAATATCGACCCGTATTTTTCAACTTTTGAACGCGTCTTGTCGAAAGTCAACTGGTAGACCTGGAATGACGAATCGATTGGTTCTAGATGCACCGACTTCTCACCTCGGAGCTGAACCTGACTCGCTTTCCTTTCCTTCGATACGTTGGACCGAGAGAGGGACGAAGACAACCTGGTGGGTGCTGGAGAGAATCTTCCGTCCTCAAAGGGGAAGAGCCGACGAGGGAATGGAAGGCGCGACACACGGCTGAAGGAGTTCCTTCTGGGACAAGACTGTTGACGCGAACCCAACGACCTTCTGATCGTGTTCCTTCTGGCGAGCTTCTGTGGGACGGACACGATGATGACGAGGATGATGGGGTGAACAGAGAGGGTGGTGAGGGGGTCGTCAAATTTGCTGATGAAGATCTAGTCGGCGTCTGTTGAGGTTCTTCTTGAGGTAACGAAGTCACGTTTCCATCTGAGACTTCTTCTGACTCCTGCAGCGGAAGTATTGCAATTGATGTCTGAAAAAGAGAGCGTTTCAATTGTGATGATTGTTTTAGTAAACATCGTTAATCGACATACCGAATCTAAAAGTGGTGCATAGAGCGCAGTTGGGTCATCAGGCGTGTTGCTTGGATCTAGCGAGCTTCTTGGGTGGTTCACACGGCAATGTTCCCGTAATTCAGATAGAGACACATACGCTGAATTGCACTGAAGGGCTGGACAATGGTAATGAGCTGGCATCGAGAGCAACTGTGCTGATAGTAAGAGAGTCAATGATGTGTCATGTGGATAACGGTTCATCATGATTTGAAGTAGTCGTCGTTGTTTTCCTATTGAACGACTACTTGACGACATTCCACGCTTGCCTGATCCAGTGGCAACCAAATTATCCTCTTCCGTAGGCGTTTGTGTTCGTTTGCAGCTCTCCAGTATCTTTTGTGTGAGACGCACGTTGTGTATGCGACAACAAGGGTAGCAAACGTACTGTCCGACATAACCCCTCAAGTCCCAATGCACTCGAACGTAATGGTCATACAAAGAGCGATACCTCTGAGCTTCGACGAAGCGTTCGTCGCATAATGGACATCGATAAAGAGCTGAGAGCGGCCTCGTCTCATCGAATACGCGAAGCACAGGATGCTCCAATGCATGCATCGCTTCAAGACGAATCGCCATATGCGTTGTGAAGGCGAAAATCTCTTCACTTTGCTGCACGAGAGATGCTTGTTGAGAAGAGCTTGCTTCTTGCTGACGATTTGGAGTTGCCGTAACTCCGACGGCATCGGGCGTCGATTGGGACATCAACATCAAATCTTTCTCATGTTGAAGATTGGGAATTTCCGATTCAGAAAACTCTTGAAATTCATCATTTTTGCGACGAATCATTTGTTGCTCTTTGTGACTTTCAGAGTTGATCAAACGTCGAGATGATCGCGAAGGCAAATCTGTCGTTTTGCTCGTCCGATGCTTCTCTGATGAAGACAGATAGAAAGATGAATGACTTTTGTGTACACACCTGAAGAAGTGTGGGAATCGGATCGTCTATGAGAAAACAATGAAACTGGAGATTCATCATGTTCGACTCCTTGGGACAGGATTGAATGACGACCATGTGTCTGGCCGTCAGAGAAAAGTGAAGGAAGCGTCGTTCGTTGATAAAATTCAGTGGCGTGACTCCTTTGACGAAAATGTTGCAAAGGACTTTCTGGTGGAGCGGATACGACAGGGTGGTGAAGGAATGCTTTCTGTCCATCTCGTCTCAAAGCGGATCGGCTTCTTCTCCCTCCCCAGCGACAAGTTCGTTTTTCAGAAGTTAAATCCTTCTCTTGCTTGGTCAACCGAGTTTGGCTGCGCGTGACTCTCGAAAATGTCGTCTGTTTCTCTTTAGAGATCATCAGATTACTCGGCGAACCTCCCATTTTGACTGCGACACGTGACTGCTGGTTGCTCGGAGAGGTTCCATCAAGAGGAACTGACTGGCGCTAAGAGGCACAATGCAAGAAAACCATTTAGACAACCTGTACATTACTGATGATGGCTGATTACCAATGGGTGAAGCTGTTTGGGATGCTGTTTGACCGGTGGGAGTGACACTGGGGTGGAGCGTTGGTTGGACTCTGCCTGTGAAAGCTGCTACAAGACAAATGCAGTCAATACCAGAACTACGGAGATCAGAAGTACCGGATAACATTTGAAATGAAGCAATTTGAACAGTGAGGGAGTAGGAATTGGGTATTGTGGGCGTTCTTCGCGACGTAGTGAGGCGGCAGGTTGAAATCTACACCTGTTTTGATCCACAGTACCTTTTAACGTTTCTTGAAAGCTGCCTTTCGCTGTACCCAGAAGTTCTGGACCCCCGTTTTCTTCTGTCATAGCAAGTTCGATATTTTAAATCAGAATAATAAATTCTAACAGTCACGACATAAGGACAATCGAAATGCGATTTTTATCTTTTATGATGCAGGATATCGTTCTGTGACATGAATTGGCAGCTGATTTGTAATTTATTGACCTTCTTGGCGACGACATGAGTCAAATTGGTGCTGGTCAGATTGAGTGGTGCGATCTCATTTTTGAAAGCTGTCTACAAACAAGTGCACTTGCATGGACCACGATGTGCAATAATTGGAGTTTCGGGGAAGTGATAGAAATGTTTTTCCTCCTTTATTGCTGGATTGGTCGAACACGGTGGTGTGAACTGCGCATTCTGATGACAACCTCCACGTCACACATGCTGCCGCCTTAAGGTAGTACACAGGACAATTGAGCTGTTGATCTTCTATTCGTTCCAATTTAAGATTTTGTTTTGACTGTTGCGACCTTTTTTGTCGGACTTTTTTGTTGTGACCTCTCACATACATGCAATCAGGCAAGGCTCTCTCGACTCACACGCAGAGACTTCTATAAAGTTTTCATTCACTTCAGTTGCTCACGTGTTGAAACAACATGAATCGTAACGTTCGAAGCAGCATCTCTTCATCTGAGGGCGTCCAACGGATGCAATCCTCCATATCAAGCCAGAGCTCTATCACCTCCTCTTCCTCGTCCCGAGCGCCTGTCTCTCAACGACACGTTCCTGCCCCCATTGTCCAACATGCGCGTGGGATTTCGATGGCGTCAAGTGATGATATCGATCGCTTGGGGACAAACTCGAAAGGACCAGGAATCGCGCTTGCCGCCAACGAAACTCCAAAAGAATTCATCTCCTCGTATGGAAACCAAACAATGGCGATGGAGAAGCGTCATCAACAGACAACTGTCGTCGAAACGTTCCGACGAACATCGCAAACGTCCCAAACTCTTTCGTCCCCACGTCAGCAGGGCGGGTCGTCGACAACGACAAAAGTTGTGACTGGCGGACATCAAATTGTCGTTGGGAAACACACAGCAAAGCAGCTCGACGGTCAGCAGTATCGCGTGTCTGCCACAAGCAAAACTCAAAACTCTGAAGTAAATCAATTGGCGGAGTTCGAAAGACTTCGAAAAAAAGGAGAGAAGCGTCAACGGAAAGAGGAAGAGAAGAGTGCGATGTCAATGGAAGGATCTTTTGTCGGAACGATTCAAAATTGTCAGTATTCAATAAATATAATAATGCATTCGATGCGTCTATTGAGTCGAGTAAAAAATACACAAGAAGCTGCTTGCTGCTCTTGCAATATCCTTCCTTTCTTGTTTGTAGCAAACACAGCAACGTCGTCGACGATTTTATTCCGGACAACAATGAAGAACTTCAATGCGGGTGCGTCACCCGATTCATTCAAATGGAATTCCTCTTTTTCAGGAATCGATTTCGGCTTCCAAACCCCCGACCTTCGCTATGTTCACATTCCATCAGAAGCAGGTGCCAATAGAAGCGCGTTTTGCGACCTTCTGTGGAAAACTCATCACGGAAAAGAAACATTCGCTTCAGTCCAATTGTTCCCAAGACCAAAGAAGCGCGTTTCTCCAGTCGGAATTGAACTCGGTGTTGGTGACACGCCAGTTCTTGGCGTTCCTGGAAGCAAGGGGGAGGAGCTTTATGGGAAACGTCCTGTTCCGTCGAAGTCGTTCGGTTGTGGGGAGAGTCGCATTCGTATGACCAATTACGCCACAAATCGAATGAATTCGGCGGCTTCCTCTGAAAGTTCATTTGCTGTTCCAACTTATTAGTCGAGTCCCAATTTTATGAGTTCCAAAATGAGAATCCATTCTAACGGAGATCTTTTTCGTTCCTGTTTTTTTACGCTTCTTCGTGACAATGGGAGATAAACAATCTGGTACATCGAGTCGACATGGCAGTGCAGCGACAAGTCTGTCCCAATTGTGCGACAGGCAGTTCCAACTCTGCGACAAGTGTGTCCCAATTGTGCGACAAGTCTGTCCCAATGATGCAAACAATTAGTGCAAAGCACGAACACTCCGACGCAGAAAAAACGAATTCGAAGTATAACGATTTATCACCTTCATCATTCGATCTCTTGAGGTTCCGGTTTGACTGAGGAATCCATGTTTGCTGAGAGATCAACATCCATCACATCAACAGAAAACAATTCTGAAGAATCAAAAAATCACTCAACTCAATTGCGGGATCAACTAACTTGGCTTGATGTCTTGAGGAACAGCTAAATCGGGTTTCAATGATGAAAAATCCGGCGGAGGGGGTGGTGGAATTGTCTGGGCGTAGCGCGGGCGAACATTTCGTCTTGATGGATGTCCATATCGGACCCATTGTCTATCACCAGGAAGACGTTTCCTTCGGTTTGGAAGTAGAGCAACATCAAGACATCCACCCTCTCCACCACGTCCCTGATCGAACGTCGTTCTGAAGAAGCACAAGCATCAGAAGAAAGGAACGGACAGGAACTTAGGATACGGACATAGCTTCCAGACATGACAGGTGGTACAGGCATCGTTATCAAGTTACAATATCTATTATCGTCATCAAGTTATAATATCTATTGATGGTCTTGCCTGAACTCGTCTCTCCATTGAAGTCCGTGAACTCCTCTTCCGAATTTTCTGTATTCCTCTGTAATTCCATCCCCACTGTCCCAATCTACACGAATCGGTCTCTCATCGAACTGAATTCCATTCAAGTACTCAACAGCACGATTTGCAGCAGCATGTGTGTAATATCTGAAATGGAGCATCAATTGACGAAATATTGAGAAGTCAGGAAATATTGAGAAGTACAAACCTGATGAAGCAAAACCCACAGGGGCTCTTCTTCTTCCTATTAAGCCCCATAACAATCAAATCAATCTCCCCGCATTTAGAAAACAGTTCATAAATCTGATCTTCTGTTGCGTAAAATGTGAGATTTCCAACATAAACTGTTGTTGACTTGTGCAATTTTGATATCCACTCCTCCTTGCTAAAACCTACAACAGGAAATTCATGATGGCCGCTCTGAAATCATAAAATCATTAACAGGCATACCAGAGCTTCTATCGACGTAATCTGATTGAGGACCTAACGGGCGGTAGAGGTGCGACATCGGACTGATTCCGAAGCAGGCGAGATCTTCTGTGGACCATTAGGCTCACCAAAACATGGTTCTGCGGCAAATCTCCCATTTTGGGGTTGTTGCAAACCACAGCTTAGACGAGTTCGCCTTCCAATCGGGATGAACCATTTCAATGGGTTTTTGATCAGCTCGAGTTCTGTTCTCCAGACAAACACGACAGGCTGTCTGTTTGTGCTGGAAGCCATCCAAGCAAGAGAATGTGTAAGTGGCATTTCGCGATCAACTCTGACTTTTTGCTTTAGATGCTCCTGACAACATTTTTACAAAACAAAGACCCAGTGTGAGGGTTCACGCTGCAGGCACCGATAGCGTTTCTCTGAATGACCCTCAAACTCAAGAAGCTCGAAACGAAGCAATAAATAAGGAAAATGAACAAAGCTCTCAGTTGCCAAAGCAAGAAAAGGCGCAAGAACAAGAGGGAGGTTATTTGACGGCAACTGGCTTAGCTGGAGCAAAGCATAGTTCTATCAAACTCCATCAACCTCCAGGTAGTTGACGATGCGATTTTCATACACACTTCCTTGTTTTCTCAGGGGGACGATCACAAAGTACGAACCTCTCAGGAACTTTATTTACTTCTTTTGTTGTTCCTCTTCAGTTTCCTTTGGATAGTCACTCCATTCTATCCCTCCAAACACTTGACGTGTATTCTTTTTTCAAGAGAGCAATTTTCACTCACACAACATTTGTCGCAGGAGAACCTTTAGACCACAAGAACTAAAAAAAATTGCTGGAAATTCTATCTTCTAAAAATAGCGTGGGAGCAAGAATCCTGTTCGTTTAGAGTGAAATCGTTGGTTGGGACTCATTTTGCGACAAAAATCGGTTTTTTGAGATCCCACCCGTCATCAGATCAAGAATGCGCCCCGCAAGTTGATTTTTCATTTCTCAAGATGGCTGGAGAGCCGGCGCGATCACCCGAGATTGATTCCTTCGCTCCAGCCGCTGCAGCGCTTCAGTCAAACGCAACTTCCCCTCAAATTTCACCAGAATCTCGTGAAGACAATCCACTTGAGCGATTTGAAGGTTATATTGCGTCTCCAACTGGCCGTCGTCTAGCCGTTTATCTCAAATGCTTCTTAATATTACTCATTGTAGGGGTGTTCACCCTGCAGCAAGTCCAATTTAAAGATACCTGGGGTAGAGAATGCGACTACAACATCAAAATATGGAGTACCGTTTGGATGGCTCGATCATTGCTTCAACATATCATTGTTCTTGTCGTCTCATGCCTCATTCTTCTCAATAGATATCGTGCAGTAGCGAGTGCTTTGCGAAGGCTACAAACGGTATTGTTCCTTTTCAAATTTTGCTGGTAAGGATTAGTCTTCTTGTTTCTGTCCAATGGACTCCCTCCTTTAGGTTTCTTTATGGAATCAAAGTTGTCCTGGTGGATGAACGGTGTGACTATGTGTCCGGCACATGGGGTCTCGTTCTATGGTGGCTCGAACGTAAGGATCCCTATTATCACTAGAGAGGCAATGTTCTCTTCTTTCAGTCGCATTCACAATTGCTCCCTGCGTTCTCATCTGCATTTTATGTCCAATTCTCATCTGCTGCTTTTGGAGAGATATTCAAATGTCGCCTGATTCTCCCCAACCAACGCCTCCAGATGTGCGTGAAAAATTGAAACCGGTTCAATATTCAGAAGTCGCGTCTCGTCTCGAGGCAGCGCAGGCTGAACCGACTCGTGAGGCCCCACAACAGCGTGATGCTCCCAACGACGAAGGACTTCTCAGCGACATGGCCTCGACACTCACAGGGGTTCCTCTCCCTGATATGGCTTCCTTGAGACGCCTCCAGTCAGGGATTTTGGGACGACAGCCATCCGGACAGCCCTTGGCTCAGCCGAGCGCATCCGTTGTTGGAAATCAGCTTCAAAGCCCCAGCACTGGCGTGACATGTCCCATCTGCTTCTGTCAGTTTGAACCGAAGGACGAAGTCATTCAGATGCCATGTGACTGGCGGCACGTGTTTCATAACGAGTGTTTAGGATCCTGGTTGGATCAGAGCCAAGCGTGTCCTGTTTGCCGAAGCAATGTCGTTGAGTCGCTAAAGAAGAAAGAAGAAGCTGAAGCGGCTCCTAACCTGCAAGTGCCAACCGAACAGAGACGCACTCGTCCGGAGAAATCGACTGACTTCGTATGAATGTTGTCCGAGTTGAATCGGCTTGAAGACTTTTTGAGTGTTTTTTTGTACCATGCATGATGTCAACCCAAAAAATCTTAAAAGGTTGCCATGCAGGACAAACCCAAAAAAAAACTAAAAAAAAAGACGAAAAAAGAAAGAAGAATGTCATCGGAGCGCTTCGACAACATCTCCTCGGCAAATAGGACAATGGCGAGACCGATCAAGCCACTGGAAGATGCAATCCCGGTGAAAAACGTGGCGGTTGTCGCAAGGCAGGGGGACAAGAAGTTCACCGGGTTCAAAGTTGCAGAAACAAATGAGACATTGGATTCCGCCATCCGTTTGTCCGATGAGAACTGGTGTCGGGGAGATTGTGGATACCTTCTGTAGATGGTCAACCCTCACTGGAATCCCTGTCACTGTCGACGCAACATCGGCAACCAATCTCGCATTCTGTTGGAGTGGTGACATTTCTGGAGCTTCAAGGGTCGGAGCTATTTCTGAATAATTAACAACGTCGAGTCTCGCCCGAATTTCTGGGGGAGTTGGTTCAGACTTCTTGTCTTGTGAAAGAGCAAAACAGAGGATACATGGAGCGAATAGGATGAAGCAACAGCAAGGAACTATAAAGAGTGCTAATTCTAAGCACCAGAGCACCAATCCTGAAAGAAGGGACTTCTTCTAATTTAAGACTGATGGGCTCACCCCAGGTTCCTGAGACTTTGTTACAACGCGGATCAACCAACACAACCTTGATCCCGTAGAAGAACCTAAGAAGCTCAGAAATTTGGGTGGATCAATCCATCAAACTGACCAAAAGGCTTGAAACACTGATACCATGCAGGATAAGCAGCACGTATGAGGAAGTTCGCTCAAAACGCGCTGAACAATCACGCGGGTCAGCCTATAAAGAACATCTTCGACCTTGTCTGCCAGCGCTACGAAGCATCATACCATACGAGAATCCAACTCTTCAGTTGGTAGTCGCATACTCTATCCCAGGTTCCTTTAAATTGAAGGCTTGTCGTTATGAGCCCTGCACTAGCTAAACCAATAATAACCCAATTTGTTATCCTCAAGATGGTCCTATCTCTCGTATTTGAAGGCATCTGATAGCTCTACTAGGCATCCAGTGGACATGCACTCCATTCGCCTCTGGAGAGGTTTACCTTTTGAGATTGTCTCGCACTACACACCCGTAATCCGAACTACACATTTTCTGGAATTGATTATTCTCCGATTATATGTCTTTCTCCAGACATTTTGAAAAAACAACGGAGCATGTGCTGCCAGGCTATTAATTTGAAAAAATTGGCTCAAATGGATTTCCGACGAAGCCCTCAGGGGTGTCATTATAACGCTTCCAGGTGGACTTCAGAGTTGGTGACATAATTTTGAGCGTCGAATCAGAACAAGTGATGCAGATCATCAATATGCTTACGCATTTTAGACTCCAACTTCATCATTTCTTCTGGCCCTCGCATCAAGGTTGAAAACCCCGTGTGCCCTTTCCAGGCGTCCCCATTGCGAGTGACTGTGATACCGGTGCTATTGACGACCCTCATACCTCCTTCCCACTTGTTCGCGCCTTTAGGCTTCAACTTTAGAGTAGCCCCTTCATGGAGGTCCGCTGATGGTTTAGTCGATGCAAGTTTCCACGGGCCAGCGAGTCCCTCATAAGTTTTGGGGACACGCTCACGAGAAATTGGGACAGACGATTTCGTGCATGTCGCAGATCCAGAATCACTAAATTTGACACAAGGAAAGACATCCCCAGACATCGCGCTTGCAGGAACATCAAATCCAAGACCTAATGGGCTTCCATTATACTCGAAATAAATACGAAGCCGATCGCCTTGAAAGGATACCAACATTCCAACAGTATCGTTTTTCTTGAAACTGGGCCCGAACCCCCCGACCAGTAGACCAGAACCATCGCTCAAGTTTCCTCCATAAAAAAGACCCTCGATACCATACCCTTGCTCGTAGTCGTGACTCCAATAAATGCTCCTTCACCAAGTGAGGGAAATTTTATTTTCCAACAAGCTTCTCCTCATCCTCCTTCCACATCGCGTTGTAACAATTACCAACCCTCCCAGTGCAATGCACCACATCACCCTCAACTTTTATTTTGCTCTGAATCGTCACTAATCCAAGTCATTCTGACAAAGGAGTCCTTATACATGCTGAACCACGGACACGTCCAGGACAGCGCATGCTGCACCCATCATCCCAAACTATTTTACTACCCAATATACCAACCACCCCAAGTTTTTTTGTTCGAGACAAATATGTCCAGACTAGCGAAATGTCCAAAAGCTCTTCTATTTTTCATTTCTAGACTAGACAAATATGTCCACCCCAACACCTCGATTCGATACTCCTGTTTGATACAAAAAATTTCGACATTCACGCATCCCCATTAAGGCACAACTGAATCTTTACGCGGTAATGGCTCGGCCTCAGCATCTGTCGGACATGTCGGTGACGAGAAGGAAATATCCTGAGGAATTTTGCGTGGCGACCCAGCGGAGTTTTCTTGAAGAGTAGGAGGGGAAGGCTCCGGTCGAGGTTTTGGGCGCCTTTTTGGGACTTTTTTCTGCGGGGGTGCTTGGGGAGTGCTTGGGAGTGTCGTCGCCTGAGACTCTGGAGTTGAAAAATTAACACGGCCAGTAGATTCATCAGTTCGATTCGCGGGATCTTCCACTGGAGCGATTTTTTGGGGTTTCTTTCTTCTACGTCGCATTGGTCTTCGTAACATTCTAAAGAATTGCGTCTTCATCGCGGAAACATCATCAGGAATTGGAATCAGGACGTCGTCCCTAGCTAACTCATCCCACTTGTACTTGTTGTACATCAAACGAGTAACACACTCAGCTCTAGAATCAAGATTTGTATGTCGAAAGATTCAACGTCATCAAGACTCACGCGATGGGAGAAGTTTCATCAATTGACTCTAATTCTTTCATCAATGGTTGAACGACAAATTCGATGAATCCACGTTGGGACTTTGCAAACGTCTCATGTGCGGCTCTCTCACACATTGGACTTTTGGGAATTTCTAAAGAACCTTCCTGATCTCCCTGAAGACACGCAGCGGATTAAGACATTAGACTATTTCGAACTAGGACGTACTTGCTGGTAAAACTCCTCAGCAACTCTAAAAGACCATTGGCGATGTTGCTGCCAGTCGAACGATGAGTGAGAAAGATCCCCTAGTTTCAAACACATTCGAGCAACAAACCTGAAGAAAGAGGCAGATGCAAGAATATTGGATAAATATCTTTGGATCATCGATGTTGATAAATATCTCTCTATGGATCATCGATGTTGATAAATATCTTTGGATTGTCGATGCTGATGAATATCTCTCTAGTGATGCGAACCATAAATCGTCAGGATTGTTAAGAGCGTCAAAATCTTCACACGTTCTTCTTATACGGAATCGTGAAACAGTTTCGAAATGGGATTTCATATCCGTGGCAAGGATTAATTCGATGATGTGAGACCGAACAGACATAAACCGTTCGTGGGGTAGTTCCTTGAAGACGTTCGCTCCCTTCTCAAGAGATCGAAATGTTAAGCAGGAGTGATAATTCTCCAACACACAAGTATCGTTATAAACAACAGCCAGTGGATGAAGGACATTGATGAGAAATTGATTGTTCCGTCCTGACAGAAGAACAGATAACGGCTAACGGATAAGCATCGTCGTACCTGGGTGGCCTGCGTCATGTCCCAGAGCAGCAACCGCAAAAGCAACTTGGTTGATCGGGTCAAAGAAGGGACTGAAAAAAAACGATCTGTGTTGCGCAAGACAGTGTGAGCGATTCAACATACCTACTAAAGAGCTTCAAAAATCGAGCAGCGCAAAACGAGAAATGTCCAACAACTGCTCCATGGGTAGCATTATGGTAGGGATTAGGGAGATAAAGGACTTGGAGCGATTTGAGATAAGAGAGGATAAAATCCTTCTCGACACCTAAAGCATCTCCATATGGAAAAATAAGACTTGCTCCAACTTCGCAAAGAAGATTTGCTGATCGACGCTCCAACTACAATAATGAAGCGTAATTCAATTCATTGGGAAGGACCCTACCATAAGAAAATCGAGAGCCCAGTCATGGCCAATTGATGCCTGAATCTCATCACTCTGAAAATGACATCGATTAGACACATTGTTGGATCACTTCTTGTGAGACTCTTTCCATTGGGACGCACCAGAAGGAGCTGCGGCAATTTCTTCGAAACTTTTACCGAAGGGGGCTTCAAACATGAGAATTCCGCCGCATCGAATCCGTTGTTGTCGGAGCAAGAATCTGGCGTTTCTTGGCACTTGGGCAGCGCGCATAGCGACAGATTTTTACGGGAGCGTCGACTAGCAACAGATCGGTCTGCGAAAGCGGATCATAAGGCTTTCATAGCAACTCCATTCACCTGTATTTGGGATGCTTGGGTGAGGGACGCGAACTTGCGAGACAGAACGTTTAAGATCTATTCGCTTATCGGCAAAGGCCCCCACGAATTGAGCAACAACCTCCTCTCCTTCACCCCCGAGATTTTCGAACCGTACAGAATAGAGGTTTCCTGTGTTGCTCAGAATTTCGACACATCTGAAACGATTAGCTGATTGGAAGTTCTTCTATAATGAAACCCACTGTTTAAGCATCTCTTCACTGCCCTCCAGTTCTGAGGCTCCTGACGCTGTTCGATATTCGGCGATTCCTTGTTTGACCTAAAGACAAAGAACAACATATCTCTCACGTTGTTTGAACACGAACCTTTTTGATCAAATCAATCATTTCTTCAACTGCCGTAGATCCTTGTTCGGTTTTTTCGCCTTTCCGCTAACTGCCTCTTCATTCTTTTTATTTGTTCCGTACTTTTCTAAATTGAAGCACAAACAATGCAGTTCGCTACAATATCCACAGCTTACAATCATTTTATAAAAGGCGTAGCGTTCTAGAATTTCGCTGTGGTATCGACCACCAATACCAATCGCGCCAGTGCAAAAAAGG